TTCATTATCAGAAACCTTACCTGAGAGAATTTTGCTTAAATTTCCAAGGATGGTTTAACAAGATAAGAAAATAATGTTTGCACATGGCGATGGACCTTGTTGTTAATATGCCCGACTTGCATACATTAATCATTATGAATGAAGCACCGGAGCAAATTGACTGGATATCGTTATTATGGAACTTGGGACTATTTGGAAAGGGAGTTATAAAGTTTGTGACATTTACATTTACTTATGATGTAGGTGCTGAAGACCCCAGATTTCCGAAATTGCAAGGCAGCTAGTGAGATTCGTGAAGGTTAGCTCTTCAAATACTTGTGTAATCTTTGTATTAAATACTAATTTCTATTAGCAATCATGTGCTCCGTATGTGAGGAACTTGGCTGGAGTATTTTGGACTATTCTTTATTTATGGGGTTACCGGGTAGAGCGGTTGATATGCCAATATCTTGGCAAATAAGAAGTCTTACTTTTGTACCTAGACCCGACCGACTCTCACTTGTATAACAGCATATGATATTTTATTTTATTTTATTTTTTTTTTTGTCATTATGTTATTTAATCTCAGCCTAGTCACAGTTTTATGTTTACTGGACCTTTCTTCCTGTGTTTTTCCCTATGCTATTGGTAAGTATCTAGATTTTGGCGTTCTGTGTCTACCTGTAAGTCTTGAATTTTTTAAACGACCTTTTACTGAGAAGAAGCTTTTATCTGAACCTCCATGTAGTGAGAATACTATTTTGCATGTTAAAGAAATTTATGCCTGAGCTGTCCTAGCTTGTAAAATCTGTACCGAGACACCAAAACTTCGATTCAGATTCTTACTCATCTGGTGAACCTCATTGAAGGACAACTTAATTTATTATCAGTTTTTTGTTAGCTTTTTATTCCCACTGTGCAGTACTGCAGCAAGTATATGAAATCCAGTCTTGAACTTTTGTCTTACTATGAAAAATCATAAATTATCTTTTGAAGTTACAATTACCCCTGAAGGTAAGTTACTTTAAATTTTGGAACATAGTTAGTGCTCTCGGCAACCAACCAGTATAAATTTCTTGGGTATTTTTTGAATGAAGTACAAAAGTTGCTTCTCCTTGAAACTGAGCATAAATGCAAAGCACATTCAATTGGTAAAATGATAAAATCTGCAGGCATGAAGCTTTTGGTAGATCACTACAAAGACATGATATCTGAAGCCATCAAGATCGAGGCCCTCAACAACATTCCAATCCATCCACCTCCCAGCATTCCAAATGGGCCGAAGCCCGCTGTGAGCTCTGCCCAGAATGGGACCCCTATTCAGCTCTCGGGCCATAAGGCTCAGGGGACGTATATAGTTGGGGGCTCTGCTTTCGGATGGAACTTCATCACTTTCAACAGTAACAGAGCCGCGTATTATGGGCGAACGAAAGAGGATTTTCGGGCCGCAAATGTCAAGCCCCCTGAAGTTCGGAGCACTGATTCTTAGACAGCACTCAGTTTCGAATCTTTGAGACATTTGGTGTTTTGTTTGTATGACATGTTTGGATCTTTTAGAATTTATCCTTTTTTTTTTTTTCCTCCGGTTGGGCTTCTAATGTTGATATTTGAATTACTAACAAGAAATGTTGGATCAAACTGGTTTCCTGTGATGCTTGTTTCTCCTATTATTATAGCTGTTGCATTTTTATTAGAGTGACAATTCAATTAGATGTATCTATAGGTGTTGAAAAAGTCGATCGCGTTACCGTGCTTAACATTAATTTTACTGCAACTAAAATGAGGATTGGCAATGGCAAGCACGATACTAAATGCAAATTCGACACAACAGAGTAGAAAATATGATTATAGAGACAAATGACACGATAAACACGAAAACAACACGAAACACAACACATAAAACACAAAGTAAACATTAAATTTCGATTCGGTATCATATTAACGATCGAATAAAATAGATAATAGAAAAATACGATAGCGAAACACGAACACGACACACGGTAGTAGTGTCACCCCTGATCATAATTGCTCAAATAATAACATTAGAATAATAAATAAAATGCATGAGAGCCCTCTCAAAATCCCAAAAAGAAATAAATATAATACTAATTAAAAAAAAAACAACACATTCTTTATTTAGTAAAAAAACACCCTGAAAAACCTCTCGTCCCTTAGAAAATTTCTTCAACTCCTCTAAGTTCTACCAGAAATTAAGGATCCGATTATTCTTTTGTCGTTCGCCATTCTCTCTATTGATCGTCCCTCCTTTTTCCTTCGATCCAAAAAAGAACTTCTTCCAATTTGCTGAAGCTTCAAACTTCTAACCAGAGAACAAAATGGTATCACACATTGCATTCAAATATGCATAATTATCTGCATTTACTCATAGCATTAATCAAGAATATCAAGAAAAAACAAGCCTTCAATCATATGTTTATTTGAATCTTGACTAAAATTCTTCACACAAAATGTACATATGATTGGAGGGCTTGTTTTTCTTGATATTCTTGATTAATGTAAAATAATTACATGGGATTCAAAATTAATACATATGTAGAGTTTCAAAATATTTGTAGTAACTATCGCTATTTTAATATATCTTCCAACAATGCGTCCTTGAAAAAAAAAGGCGAATTCGGCGTCTGGAATAGCAGTGGATGACGAGTGCAAGCTGAAATTCTTGGAGCTGAAGGCAAAGAGGAACTTCCGATACATTGTTTTCAAGATCGACGACAAAGGCAACCAAGTGATGGTGGAGAAGGCCGGCGGCAGTGGCGAGACCTATCAGGATTTTGCCGACAGCTTGCCGGGAGACGAGTGTCGTTACGCGGTCTTTGATTACGATTTCACCACCAACGAGAACTGCCACAAGAGCAAGATCTACTTCATTGCATGGTAATTTTAAATTATATAATTACTATATCTATATGCGGATGATGAAGGATATATAGCTACTACATATGGACATACCTCTTGGCCATCATGTTTCATATTATTATAATTAAGATGCATTTTTTGGTCAACAAGTTATGATGGTTGTTTATCACATTTTCTTGGAGATTTAGGATATATATGAGAAATGAAGGCAAGAATGAAGAACATGTATGTTTTTGGGGGTAAAAAGATATTTGATTTTATTTAGTTGTTCGACAATAACTCCCCCGAACACAGCTTACAACTTTATCTACTGAAAAATTATCATTGTCCAACGAAAAGGCTAAATTGGAAAATATAACAAGTATCTTGTTCACTGTGGCAAGAATAGCCACCATCTTTATGAATTGGCAATATTAGCCATCAACTTTCAAAATTTCGAGATTATTACCCAAATCCAACCAAATTCGACATATAATTTGCAAAATATAGTCAGTATCTTTTTACGTAGTGGGAACAATAGCCATCGAATTTAGTCGGACATGGGTAATAACTCCAAAATTTTGAAAGTTATTGGCTAATATTGCCAATTCGTAAAAATGGTGGCTAATATTGTCACCACGTACAAGATACTGACTATATTTTGCAATTAAACCCCAACGAAAATTCAAATGACAATTATTCCAACTGAATTCGAACGACAATGTTGGAACATTTCTAACGGCAATTCCGTTTGAATTAGTTTTCTGTTGGAATTTCTATTCGACTTTAGTGATTCAAACCGCATTTTTTTCATGGTCAGAATTATTGACAACAAAAACAATTCCAAAGGAAATGTTGGAATGATGAAATTTCAAGTAGAATTCCGAGGGATAGTTAATTCCAATAAAAGATTCTCGTACCGACATTAAATTTGAACACGAAAATTATAACATTAGAATAAATCCTGGTGTATTCAATTTAGATTTTGTTAACTTTTAAAAGTCTTGGGTATTCAATTCGGATTATAAAAAGTCTTACAAAATCCCGAGGTATTTAATTTATTTGAATTGATTAATGCATTCAGGTCACCAGATACTGCAAGGGTGAGAACCAAGATGCTGTATGCAAGTTCAAAAGACAGATTCAAGAGGGAATTAGATGGGATTCAAGTGGAATTACAAGCCACTGATCCTAGTGAGATGAGCTTGGAAATCATCAAGGAAAGAGCTTACTGAATTTTTTCTTAATTAATTCCCCCCACACACACATACACACACACACACACACACACACACACATATATATATATATAAAAATATACATCAAAATATTCTTCTTATTCATTTTTCATTTTATTTTTTTATATACATCTTTCATGTTTTTAATTCAAATTTGATTTCTGGAATTTTCCCTTTTGAGAGCTATGGCTTTATGGCTTTAGCTGATTATTTGGTTCATGTATTTATTAATTGCATACATATTTCCTTTGTATTTTTTTTTATTATATCTAGTGCAACATTTGGAATTCAGAGTAATTCTTTTGTCAATATTAATTTGTTCATAAATTCGTATACGAGATGGTCTAATCGTTAGTATAGTTGATCGTCACATTAAAAAACATTTCTATTTATATTTTAAAATGTCATAACATTTTAATTAAAATTTATGTGCAAAATGTATGATTAATTAACAACTTTTTTGATGTAAATTGTTTGGTTCCATTTTTTTTTTTTTATATATTATATATTATCTTGCGGAAGTACTACAATATGATAACAAAATGGGTTGCACACTATTTTAGCCTTTAGATCATTGGAGAATTGAGATTTGTTACAAATATAATTACGAGAACTAGCGATTTTATCCTCTCCTAATTGCAGGCAATCCCTGATTTGAAGTAGTGATGAACACAATAGCTGAACAATTATATATTTTTCTTCTGAAAAAAATAAAATTTTCAAGCTCCAATAAAATAGATCTAAGACACTAGCACTTGGACATGATTCCCCATACTCAATGTCTCACTCATATACTTTTCTTCTTAACCATCAGTTGCTCATTTAATCATCC